TACATTCCTTATCACGGACCTTTCTAAACTTCTATCTGTTTTAATTATTTGCAATTCAATAATTGACGATTAATGTCGGCAGGATTTATATGAAAAATATATCAGAACACTTCATAGACTATGTGGTAAAAACTGAACGGAAACGATAATTTTACATGTTATTAATTAATGTTCTGTGCATTAATAAATTTGTTATTCTTGGTTCAGATTATTGGTATCATACTGACTTATATGATAATACTCGTATTATGATTAGTCAGAGATAAAATAGCTTTTTGAATGAGGAATAAATTAAAAGAAAAAAAAGTAGTATCATAATTAAATTTATCACTGACTCAAAATAGTAGAAAAATTTCTCTATCATCAATCACATCTAATTTGTTTAAATCATAATTTTATATTAAATAATTTAAACTTAAATTTAAAAAAGTAAAATTCTAGTAAATTTTTGGTAATATCACTAGTTCGTGATGTTAAATATTAGTGAATAAAATTGAATATTCCACGGTTTATAAACTTTATAAAAGTTATTTTTAAAAGTTTATAAAATATGAGCTCGTTGGTATTTTTACATTTAATAAATTATCTACATTGTATAAATTTTTTCGTTCATTTCCAATTTTTTGTTGACTGTTTTCTCTACCAATTTTCATCATTTTAATCATAAATAAAATTATAATCTATTATGTATTAGAAGTAGTGTAATAGAGCATGCTGCAGTGACTATGAATATGACAAATGACTGTTAGGTATTATTTTTTTTTGAATAATTAATCATAATTTTTATCGCTGAATAATTTGTGAATTATTTAATATTTTTTCTAGCAAACTTACTTGAACTTCCTGCGAAAAAATAAAATAAATCTACATTGATCTATTTTTTGGCACAATTAGATCTGCTTTGTTCTGTGTACATCTGTTTTGATCACTTTAGATCTTCTGTGATCTCTGTAGATGTGTTCAATTTCTTTTATCATTGAGATCAATGGAGATCTCCATAGACATGAAGTACACTGCGAATCCCAAGATTTTACAAACGTGCTAAAATAACAAGCATAAAGTGTGTTCAATGTCAAATGTCCATAAACAAACTATATATAATTTGTAGACACTTTTAACACATTTCATAGTGTGTGAAAAATCTATAGTTTGTTTACAACACTTAACATTGAAGAGGCTTACGTGTTAAAAGTGTCTACGAGAATAACACACTTGGATTTGCAGAGTAATTTGTGTAGATATACAGTGATCTTACTTGATACACATAGATTTACATGAATCAAAAGAATCTTTAGTTTTTTAGATATGAGTAGATCGAATTAAATCTAAAAAATGAGGACAATGTAGATCTGGGTAGATCTATTGCAAATTTAATAGAGTTTGCCATGATGCATGTTTTTTTTTTAATCTTAAAAAGTAATGACAATTAATCAATGCCAAGTTGGTTGACATATTTGACATGAATGTAGCTTCCGATTAAAAAAAAAAACTTAAAAAAGTTCATTTGTTGATGAGCTACGAACAATTGTTTAAAAAACAGTGGTACTTTTGACATAAACAATTAAATATTTCAAAAACCATTAGTCGTAGAGAGCTGAGACTGGTCTCATTGTTTTTCTCGTGAAAATCTCAAAAAATTATACACATCATGTCTTGATCTCCGATGCGTTTTTTTCAAGATGTTTAATACAAAAAAAGCTTTTTTTTTATAAACAAAAAAACACATTTTGTCATGTGTTCATAAATTCATGCTGATGTTTGCCGTCACTAAAAACAACCTAATGAACAAAATCGGTTAATATTCAACGGACTTTCATTTTTAGAAGCATATTGACTGGACTACTTCTATTTTTTCCCGAGTTACCATTCTGAAACATGTCATAAACAAAATAAAAAAGATCATTTAAAGTCTCTTACCTGACTCGTTTTTTAATCTAATGGAATTTGTTACACAATTTTCACGTAAAAAGTCTTGATTTATCAGTAGTTAAAGATCCTCCGGGATCGATCGTACGCTAGAAGATGGTCCCAAAACGTTTTCTCGGTCTCTTGGTGTCCTGTTAGTTCATCTTACTTCACGGCTGACATGGCTAATTCTACGTAGTATGCACTTGGGAGCGAATGTCGCATTTCCAACGTCGTTTTCACGTCAGACTCTCGAGTTCTATAACGTGTAAAGCCATTGACTGAAAAATATTTCTTGAACCTATCTAGAAGGTTGGATGGGAAAAAATTGTGAGTACAAATGACAGATGAAGAGTAATGATTATTGGAAGTGTTAGACATCAAGACATAAACGACAAAATCGATTTATGGAATCGAAAGCCAAAAGTATAAAAAAAAAGCCTGTCAACAAAAGATCACTTGAAAAAGACAACCTTTTTACCAGCTGATTCTATCCAGTCACGTCAATTTCCATGAGAAAAGAATCTCCGTCAGGATAATTCAGTTGGTCCCTCGGGAAAAGCGTCAAGAAGTACCTACAACACTTTTGGTTTTAATCGGTCGTTATCGACAAGCTTTCCTTGTCAACTATGTCAGTCTTTTCAAAACACTTAAGCTGTCGACAAGTACGTATCGGTTATTTCTATTTTGGTATCATCCTTTTTGTGGTTAAAAACACATTTGTGAAGAAAAGGATCATCTTTGTTGAATAAATTTACCTAAGTAATTGGAAAATATTGTTTACTTTTAGTTTCAACAAATTTTCATTCTACATAAATACTTCTTACTGTTATAGAAATATATAATGAGTATTTTAATTTACAAAAATTGCGATAAATTTCCGACAGAATAGATTGTGGATTCAAGGTTCATTTAATCTGACAATATTGGCACAAGTCAAAAGAGGAAGTCAAAGTAAATAACGACGGATATACGTGACCTGTATGGACACAAATCAAAACCATTCTCTTTGTTTTCCTACCCACTTGGACTACTTCCTTTTAACCACTCCTTTTTAGTTAAGTCACGGTAAGAACGACAAAAAGATCGATACTTCATTGTCTTACAACTTGAAGAAAAAAACAGAAATTGTCACAAAAAGATGCTGACAGAGTTATAATAAATGAAATGAAGTTTTATTTACGTGGTTATAAAACAAAGAAAGGATGTAAAGAATTCGTAAGACCTACAAAATAAGTCGTTGAGTGGATCATGAAATTCTATGGTTGATCATAAAACTTTGGCAGTAGATGAAAGATCATAGATATATATATTTTTTACAGTAAAGGTATACTAACTTGTTGTATCAAAATGCATTTGTTTCTTTTCTTTTTTCATCTTTTAGCTTTTTTATTTATTTCTTGGACCATGATTTGTACGAGATTTTTATGAAGAATTCTTTAAACTCTTTGATGATAAAAAACTTGAAGAGTTAAAATAAAAAATTGATTTTTTTTTAGATAGTTCTGAGCACACTTTGTCTGTGCTAGCACGACGAACTTCCCAGTAGTAATTGTTTATAACAAATTTAAATAATCATATCAATGATTGTTAAAAACATCCAAATCTATGTGATATACACATTACTTAATCAATAAATACAATTTTTAATTGTATATAACAAATTCGTATTGTTATAAACAATGTGTAAATGTTGAAAGTCATATTTGGTTGTGAACAATAATGTCTAGTCAGTATCGACTCAATTTTCAAATGAAATTGTTATTTTTTGACTTAACAGTATTATAAGTAGCTAATCTTTTCATTTTTTTATTATTAGTTTTTTTGTTATACAAAAAACGCCTCAACCGAATTTGTTCAAATTTTACTCAGATCTTCTTTATGATAATATTTTTTGAATAAATTTAGATTGAAGTCGATATCTCGTTCCGTTCTCGAGATATCGAAAACGACAAAAATGCTGACATCCGTACAGACATATGTACGTACGTACACACACACATCATTCTAAAAATTGGTCAGTATGCTTGCAAATACCATGAAACGTGAAGATATGATGAAAATTCAAATTTCACCAATCGACCCAATTTCAATAACTTCCTAATGGGAAGTTAACTAGTACCTTAAATACATAATGTTGGTAAATTAGGCTAAGGATATTTATTATTATGAATAAACAAACTAATTGAAATTATATTTCAACTTCCTTTATTGAGTTAAATCAAGATTCAAAAAGTATGTCCTAACAGACTGAAAGACTCTCATGAACTAATATCAATAGTACTTAGTCTACATAATAACCGCCCGAGTCAGAATTTTACTCTTATTTTGCCGCTGAACCCCCTAAAAATCTACATTTTCCCACTGAGCCCCTATTAAAAATAGTTTATCAAAATATTCTGTACTTGGTAGTAATAAAATAATCATATTGAATATAATAATGTATTGTTATAAACAATTAAATATTATAGAAAATATTTCCTCACCATTACTAACTATTAGAAATTATTTTAAATCACTACAAATAATTTTTAATCGTCAAATGTTGATAAAACTAATTTAATAATATAGATTTCATTAATAAATTCATAATAATTATGGAAAACGCGTAGATATTCTGGATGAAGACAAAAATTTTTATTGTAAATAAAGTATAGTAAGCAGGTTCAGCGGCAAAATAATTTCTGTCAGGCGGTACAGCGACAAAATAAGAGTAAAATTCTGACTCAGGATCTTTTATTTCTTTCAGTTTAATGCTAACAGGAAGAAGGAATAAAAAAAATGGCTGAATTTTATTTAGAAATATTAATTATCAAGTTTAAATATAATAGTCAAGTGACAGAAATTTAATTGATTAATGATGGTGCCATTTAGTTGTGTAATTAAATTTAAAAGAAAATCTATTAATTAAATTATCACAGACTAACAAGTAGTCTTCGTGATGATCTACAACAATTAGTATTCATCAACAAGTTACTTCCGTAAGTTTGTTAGTAGTTAATTCCCTTGAGAACAGACAAGTGAATAATGTCCGCATTAGACCAGCCGAGTTGAATTTAGTTGGTACAGGAGAAGGGGTGAAAATATTATTAAAAATGTTGAAATATTTCATACTGAAATCCCTTGTATTATGGTTTTATGTGAGCCTTGTTGGTGGACTTAGAGTAAAAAACGTCACTTCTACTATCGAAAGGCATATTCGGTCTATCACTTTTCCAAACGGAAGTGGAATGGGGGTGATTTATTGATAAATTTATGAAACACATAAACTTTTCAATTATTTTATCATTAACTTTATCTTTCATTGAATCAGATTTTCTTTGCTGTTGGAATTCCTTTGGATCTGCCAGGAAAGTCAGTATCAATGGCATATTACTTTGAAGCTAATTATCAACTTCCAGATAAAAATTCGACATATTTCAATGAATACAATGAATATTTCCAAAAAAAAAGCTTCAGTAGAACAGTTGCTTATAAAATAATAGAAAATAAACTAGAAAGGTATAATTACTGACAAGAAGAAATAAATAATTTTCTATATTTATACATTCAATTGAACATTTGTGAATACAGAGCTGGCTATTCAGGTCGAAAATGCTTGTTACGAACAATATGTGAAGCTGCATCAACTCCTATCACCGGAAATGGATTGATTGGAGATATTATCCATATACTCTTTACGTATGAATAAAACTTTATCGGACAAAATAGGAAATTTAAATTAACTTTTTTATTTATTATTTTCAGACCATCCAGTTCGGAAAATGAAAATTTATCCAAGGAAATAATTGAAGCTGAATATGAAAAAAATTGTTCTCTAAAATACAACTGTACGATAAATTTTTTAGATTTAATAAGCCATTATGTTTCATAAAAAAGAACCAAATATCAACAAATTTTCTTCAAGCACTATAAAAAAAGAATTAAATAAAAGTCTATTGTAAAATTATCTATTAATTATTTATTATTTTTATTTATCAATAACAAAATATAAAATAATATAACAATTATATACATAACGATATATTAATTAAATAGATAATTAATCAGTTAACTTGCACTAAACCAATCAGAACCCATGGCTCCAAAAAATGCAGCAGCTCCAGACTTAATAGAAGCTCCAGTTGAATCGTTTCTGGTGTGTTCCTTCACTGGCATTTTTTTGCGCTGTTCCAGAGATTAAGTAAGAAAATAAATTAGTCTATATATTTAATCTTAGCAAGAGTTATAATTAATATGAGCTTATACAAAAACCAACAAATATAATCACTATATTCTTTACGAGAGGAAGGTGGTAGTTTACGATGATATAAAAGATTTTATGAGAATAGTTTTGCAACTTCATCATGTCTTTAGTTGATGATAATTGAAATAGCAAAACTTTGAGTGTAAAAATTCAAGAAAAACTTCGAAAATTCAATGTATTATTTCAAAAGAAATGTTTTTAAACGTCTTTTTTGTTTTATTTTAATCACACTCAAATAAAAAATCAATTATTGAGTTAAGTGCATGCAAGAAAAGCCTTTAGTCTTTATTAATATAGCTAAAAAGCTCTCCACGAGCACAATCTTAGTCCCTTACCAAAGAATTTAGGCTTCTTACCTCAAGCGCCAATCTAAAGATACACAATGAAAAAGTATCAAAATATGATACACTACTGATTTATTAACAACATTGTAAGGTAAGACCTTTTGTTCTATTTCCCATTATTTGAAATGTTGGTAGATGTAATGAAGGAAATCTTTTTATGTTTAGTTTAATTAGATTTGAAGCAAATACCTGGGCTTTGTCGGGCATCGTTACGGAAATGAGAGGCAAATTCTTTGATGGTACTGTTACAGCCAACGGTGAGAACCAAGGAGCGCCAGTGCAAATAGCAAGAACACCCGGAGGATCAGCTATTGACTTTCCACTATCATTTAATTCACTACGAGCACCTAGGACTGAATATAACTGCTCCAATTGCGGTACCACATTGCCGAAAATCAACTGGAATGCCACAAATATTAACACGTATTAATTTAATAATAGAGAATACAATTACAGAGATTAAAATAAATATACTAACAAGTATTCTACAAAGCTGAAAAGGTAAAGGCAGCAATTCTCGAGATTTTAAGAAAAATTTGATGTTTGAACATTAACGAAAAATATATTTCTTTAATTTAAATACTAATATCTATTTACATACGTAAATTAACTTTTTAATAATAGTTTAATATCAAGATATGGCAATTGTTCTGAATTTTTTATGTTAAATTAAAATTTCTTTTTAAAGTTTTAAAGTCTCTTGTAGTGAACGTAGCAAATGCATGAATAGTCAATATTTTTTTTCACTTTTCCGATACATTATAAGCAGTATTAAACATAAAATAACTTTATTTAAAATTTATTTCATTGAAAAATGACTTTAGAAAGTATTTTATTCTTGCCTTTACCTTTATTTGTAAAGTTTCTATTTATTTTTTAATCATTGCAATAAACTTATTTATTTTTAAACACTCACCAATGATCTTTGAACACTTTTTTTAACATTCACATGAATAAATGGAAAAAAAACGTCAGAATCAAATGGATCAATTTTTTCTTGTACATTATTACAAAGTTCTACTGATCTGTCAGTTAAAGTTTTATTCTCTCGCGATACCATTAACATTGTAATATATTTAACATCGAGTAGTACTTGAAAAGCTTGCTTTTGCTTTAAATTCAAACACTTAGACACTTCTTCATAATAATTGAATAATTCTATTACAATATTTTCAATTAATTCATGAAGTACTTTTCTAGGAATAGTATGAGGAACGACTTTGTTTAAATCCTTCATTATTGTCGCTAAAAATTTTGTCAAGCAAGCTGATGGTTGATAAGGGACTAAAATTTCTGATTTAATTCTTTTGCCATCTTCAGCTTCTTCTTCAATCGTTACTTTTTCCCATTCAGAAATAATCGTCGCTACTTTCAATCCATCAATAGATTCGCTTCTCAAAACATTATTTGCATGATCCTTTACTTTATTTCGATATCGAGAAGCCCAAATAGACCAGATTGAAGTGCTTTTATCTTTCATTTTATCACAAATGCTTTGCCATTTCACATTAGAAATTGTCAGACCTGAAATCTTACTCAACGTAAAACATTTATTTAAATTAGGACATAAAGCAGTCAAAGCTTGAAGGAATCTGGCCATCACAATCACATTAATTTCACTTTTTCCATACTTAGGAGTTTCACAAATACACTCTTTTTCGATAAAAATAATTAAATCATCAATCATAAGTGTACTGATTTGCTGCAAATTTTCTTGAACTGCAGATCGATCATTGAATTTGTCAAAAAGCGATGAGAGATTCAGTGCTAACAAATCATCAGCCACCGACGACATCTTTTCCGTCTCGTATAAATATTGTTCTAAATCTAACAGTAAGGAATGCAAATTTTCGTCGAATGATTCGCATAAATTGACAAGATTTGGTGAATAGCCTCTAGCTTTCATCAATAACGATCTTTTAACATCCGATGAACCGCTTTTGGATAACTTCTGAGGAATATCCGTTGGAGAATCTTTCCAAATGAACCACCTAAGATCATTCTCTGGATAATCAAACTTCTCATTCGTTAACTTTGATAAGAAATCAGTCGTTTTCGTCTTTAAATCGGTTAAAGTTTCTTTCCATCGGTCTTGAACTATTTCTTTCACTCTATCTGTTAATAATGGGTGATAAAACTCTGTCCAGAAGTTAATAATTGGTAAGGAAAGATCTTTCCAGATATTTGTCCAATATTCTGGAAGTTGAATGGCAATCGACTCTTCTCTAATGTTATAAATACCTTTCACAGATGTTACGAGATTTAATAAACGTGAAATTTCAGTTGCTGTAAAGGTTTTTACCCAACTTAACCATAGATTAAATCTAGAATGAAGATCTACAGAAGAGAGGTCCGTAAATTCATCTTTAGCAAAAAGTTTGTGATTTTTTGTTACACTCGGAAGGTATTTATCAATTATTTGGTTACTCAAATCAAGTTGACAAAGCATTTTCAATGACTCTTGATCCATGATCTCTTTGATGAATGTAGTAATAAGTCCACTTTGTTGATTATAAGCATCTAAAATTTATGTGTTTCATTACTATAATTGATTATGTTATGAAATACAAAAAAGAATAAATAATATAATACTAACTTATAAAACAGAAATGTATCAAAGCTACAGTATCAATCAACATTTTGACACTTAGCTTGATCCTGTGTCTAACACTCTGAGGACTTTCGCTTTTGACTATTGACTCTATGGCTCTAGAACGAAGATTAATCAATTTATCTAATAAATCCTTAGAATTTGTTTTTTCCATGAGCACAAGGGATGCTAAACAGTTGGCAGCGACCTAAAAAATGGTAATAAAAGATTTAAGAGTGTTGATAATAAGAATAATAAGAATTGAATGAAAATTTTTTTGTACCTCAGGGGTTAAGTCAGTAGATCCTAAAATATGATGACATTCTTCAGCAATAATTCTTCGGAAATTACTGATCATGGACCATTGCTTGGTAACTACTGGATACTTTTGTGCTAAATTAGCTTGACCAACTTCAAAAATTAAACTATAATTAATATGTTGAGCAAGAATAAATAGTTGACTAGCTCTCATGAGGTTTTTATCATCAATCGCTGACCAAATATGCTCCGGTATATCCATAAGAATTTTTATTTGAACGATCACAGCATCCATGACATTTTTTTCTTCATGAGATAAAGACTCATCAGGGGGATCTATTTTAAAACCAATTAAATATTTTTGATTAAGATCTTTAAAAGTATCTTCTATATCTGCTATTCTTTGTATGACAGATTCTGTTGTTTTTCTCATCTCTGCTATTGTGTCTGCTGCTTGAATTAAATCTCGATAACGTTCTCTGTAATGATTTATTATTTATTCATTTGAATTTTATTAGATTTATATTTACAATTAATCACTTACCCTACAAGAGTACGGAGCTCTACTTTTTTCCAATCACTTTCAGCTTGAATTTTTTTCTGTATTTCTTCAATATCTTTTATTTTGTGCTCTTTAAATAATTTATTTATATCTAAATCTAAGTAATTTTTAGATGACATAATTGAGTTTTAATATAAAAGACTTTAAATACTGAAAAAATAATTAAAAATAAAGCTACTTTTGGTTATGTTTACGTGGAGGAATTATCCGAATTGACATGAGATACTATTTTTAGTTTGCCTCAAGGCCGTCAGAGTGCTCTCTTAATTTAAAAAAAAAATGACAAAATTATTGAATGTTTCTTTAAAAATAAAATATTGATAAAAATCAGCTAAATATTAAAAATAAATAACATAAAAAATAATTTGTTTAAAATATTACCGATAATTAGTGAAAAATAAAGTTTAAATTTCCCCGCCATTTTTTGCTGAAAGTAGTGTACCACTTTGATCCAAAGTAAAAACTAAAAATTTGTTCTAAAGCTCTGCTGCAAACATTCACAATAACTGAAATTCGTATGTTTTTCGTTTACTCAATAAATTAGAAAAAAAATAAGAAATAAATTGTAGATCAGTGAATAAAATTCTCGAAATGAAGTTAGTAATAATTATCGTTAAATAATTATTCTTTTATTCTAAATTCTATAAAATAATTTGAGAATCAGTCCTAAGAGGTTATTTAGATGATTCATTTTTGGAGTAAGTTTTGAAATAATCTTTCAATATTAATATTTTTCACGAATATGTAGTCTTTTAGAATAATTTATGTATCTAGGTAATGTTGCAAAAGGAATTCAAGTTGTTAAATTTATTACCATTAACTTGGATTGATTTTTAAATTCAACTTTCATCACAACATTACAAACAATGTGCTTTAAAAAATTATACAATTGAAAATTAATTCAAATACTCATCAATAAAATATGTAATTATGATTACTAGCTAAAAACAAAGAATTATTAATGATAATATAAATAAAAAATTATTAATAAATTCGAAGGTACTACCAAGCACCAAATAATTGCTGTCAAACATCTTAAAGCATATTAATAAGTCAGACAAAACATTGAAAAGCTTAAAAGTACTGGAAATAGCTATTATAAATATTTCAAAAAAAAAAAACGAACATTGAAAAGTATCTCAAATAACTTTAAAGAAATGGAAAAAATAATTTTATCTCCACTTCAAAGAATTCTTCAAGAATTTCCAAAAAACATCAAATTTTGCTTTGCTTATGGATCTGGGGTATTTAAACAGAAGACTGACCCTACAAAAAATATGTTGGATCTTATTTTTGTCGTCAGTAACCCAAAAAGATGGCATTCACAAAATTTAATGAAAAATCCTAGTCATTATGCTCAACCATTGAGATTTCTTGGACCAAAAGTTATTGCAAATGTTCAAGAAAAATGGGGAGCTAGGATTTATTACAATACTTTAATCAAATCTTCAGATGAAAGATTAATGAAATACGGAGTAATATCAGAGGTGGCTTTGATCGAGGATTTGTTGGACTGGAACATGTTATACCTTTCTGGAAGACTTCACAAACCAGTTCAGGTGCAGAGTTGCATATGATATAATTATTTTGGTTTTAATTAAACAATTAATTGTTGACTTATATATGCAATAACACATTTTAATCATAATATTTACTGTTAATTATTAAAAATTTTATATTTATAATTATCTTCTTCAATATTTTTATTTAAGTAATTATTTATAATAATAACTTCAATACTTTATTTGGTAAATTATTTTTTTTGTAACTCTGTCTAGGTATTAATTGGTCCTGAAAACAATTCATCTCTTCAAACAGCTCTTGCTCAAAATTTAAAATCTGCAGTTCACGCGGCTTTGCTTCTTTTACCTGAAGATTTCAATCAAATTGATTTTTACAAAACAATAGCTAGTCTATCTTACCATGGTGACTTTAGGATGACCTTTGGGGAAGATAAATCTAAAATAAATAACATAGTAATTCCTCAAATAGAAAATTTTAAACTTTTATATGCTCCTGTATTAAAATTTTTCGATCATTGTATGGAAATGTCTTCATCTGAAGGAGGGCCGATAATGTGCCGTCAGGATGGCAGCCCTACAGCGAAAATTCATCATTTAAATCAACTTCCAAGGGTCCCTCAAGTAAAATTAGTCAGAAAATGGTCCCAAGGATCAAGAACCTACGATGTAGAAGATTGCCTTCGAGCGATAGCTTATGATCCCGAGTGTAATGAGTTAGTGCAGGAAGTTTTTAAGGAGATCGTAAGACGATCTAGTATAACACAGAGTCTTAAAGGGATTTTGACAGCAGGAATTGCAAAATCAGTTAAATATAGTAGTGCCAAAATAGTCAAAATGATTCAATCAAATAGAAATATTTATTTAAGTAAACAGTTGATCGCATCAGCACTTCCTGTAGCACCGAAAATTAATAAAATTATGGAAAAAGTGACAAAAAAGATTCCTCCAAAGGCAATAGAAAAAGACAATCAAAAGAAATCTTAATTTATTGTCAAAAACTTCAGTAATAAATAAAGTATTTAAAAACAAAACCAATAATTTTAAATTAATTAAATAGAATTTACTTTAAAAATTAATTTTTTTTATTCATAAATACCATTTTCGTAAATTATAAGCAAAAATAAATTATTGAAAATATTTTTTTTACAGTGTAGACTATGACGATGAATTCCGATTCTGAAAGTCAAGATAGCGACGAAGGCCGAAGGTTTCGTTTTGAAGCAACGAGAAAAGATTCACATTCGATCAATCTTGGTTCACAATGTAGTAAAACATCACCATCAAAACTTCAATCACGTCGATCGAGGTCGAGAGATCGATCGAGGTATGACCGAAAGGATGATAGATCAAGTTACGAACGTAAAAAAGAATCTAAGAGTAGTAAAGATGAAAAAAGAAGCTCGAAAGATCGAAAAAGTAGAGAAGAATTAAAGAAAAAAGATGATACAAAACATCGAGATGATTCAAGACATAGACATGCTCACAAAGACTCCTGGGAACTAGGAAGAAAAAATTCAAGACCAGGAGACTCGAGGGATTTAAAAAATAGAGACAATAGAAGGAAAAGATCAAGGGAAAGATCTTATGAAAAAAATCGGGAATCTGAAAGTCAAAAAAATAGTGAAAGAAGTGAAAAAAAACATTCAAAAGATCGAGAGAAATCCAGCAGAAGATCAAAATTTAGCGAAGATAATGTAAAGAGTCGAATAGATGTCAAAGAAAAAAATCCTGATGATGATTTAAGTAATGTAGATGATGACAGAATTTCAATAGAAGCGCAAGATTGTAAAGAATTAAATTTAAGTGATTTCGACATTGTTTCTGATGCAGAAGAGATATCAGATTCATCTAAAGATGAGAAAAAATTACGAAAAAGTAGTTCAGACAGTAAGGATAGAAAAACAAAAAAAACAAAAAGAAGATCGAGAGAGAAAAAAATAAAAAGTTCAAAAAATGGAGATGAATCAAGTCTTGACGATAGTCATTCTGATGATGACGTTCCAGATGTTTTCATGAATAATGCATCAACATCAGCATCTTTTTCACACAGCTTTCATGACAGTGATACGAAAAATGTACATTCTAAAGACTCAAGTGATAAAATTTCTGATAAATCATACAGCGATAACGATATAGATGAAAATGATGATAAACTTCATGAAGATGAAGAATGTTATGGTCCAAGTTTGCCTCCAAGTCTCACGAAATCAACTCCAACGTGTAGTGATAAACCAAAAATCATTGGACCATGTTTGCCGGATAATTTTTGCAAACAACTTGCTCAAAAAAATGATGAAGATACCGAGGTTTTTGGTCCATCTTTGCCGGTGAATACAAAAAAAGCACAAACTAAAATTATTGGACCAACACTTCCAGACCATTTAAGACATACTTTAGAGATGGAATGTGAAGAAAATAAAATGGAAATGATGGAGAATGAAGAAGCGGTTGAAGATGATATTTTAGGTCCTCTTCCAGCAGATCATCCTGATATTGATAATGACCAGATTCAACAGCAATTGGAATATAGAGCTCGACTTATTAAAAAAGAATTAGCAAGAATGGTGAGTACTCTAGATTAAGCATGAGTAATTTCTAGATTCAAGTAATAAAGTTATCATTACGAAGATAGAGAATTTGTTGTGAATTATGATTGTCCATGTCAGTTCTTGAGCAAAGCTGGGGAAATTTTGATTTGCAGGAAAACTTATAGAGACTGAAAAAATTTTTACCTGGGCATAATTCATGTTTGAGAAACATAGTGTGCTCTAAAGAGTATAAAACAGCTTAGCACTGCTCTGGAGTCTAGACCAGGCATGGGCAACGTTTTTAAGTCAGAGTACCTTTTAAGATTAAGAGTACTCGTACAATAAGGTCCACAATGAAAATGATTTTAAGAAATCCAGGAACTGAGTAACAGTTACTCTGAGGAGTACCACTTGCCCATGCCTGGTCTAGACTAAACATTTTATTGAAAAAAATTGATCATGATAGTAATAAAAATTCTATTGTTTATCTAGGATTATAAAGAAGAAAAAAAACGAGAAGAATGGATGACTGAACTACCGTCAGTTCATGCAGTGAATTTAGGATTAGGTCCCAGGAAATTTCGCTCCAGAGAAGCTCCTGACATGTCAGATCGGTCTGAGTGGACTGACACTCCTGCTGATCGTGAGAAGAAACAAAAAGAGATGCTAATGGGCAATATAAAACCGCAGGAAAATGATCGCGAAGAAGAATTAATGAAAAAAGGGAAACCAAGTAAAAGAGACGGTGAATCTCTTCTTGAAATGCATCAGAAAAAAATGCATAAAAAGAAAAAGGTAAATTAAAATTCATTATTTCTTTTGAAAAATGACAATTTTTGATTGTTTAAACATTATTTTTGTGTCTTCTATTATTAGAAAGAAGAGAAAAAGGCTAAAAAAGCAGGCACAAGTGTAAGAAGACCTTTTGATCGTGACGTTGACTTACAAATTACACATGTGGATGAAGCTAAGAAAAGGAGTTTTATTATGAAAGCTCAATCCCTTGATGATCGGTTTTCTCGAGGAAAAATTAATAAGTGATAATTATCGGAAAGGTAAAATTGAAATGTACATTTTTAACGATTACAAGAGAAAATTCATCCAGTGACAAAATATGAATAATCATTTTGATGAATTAAAATTTAAATACAGTGCCTTGCAATTCAATGATATAATTTGACATTGAAAGTACTTCTAACTAAAACTTCTAAACAGTTTCAATATTAATAAGTACTTTAACTCGACCAGACAATTATATTATTGCAATACTAAGCATTAAATTATTCACATATGTTATTGAAAATATTTTTTTAATTGTACTTTAAATCGTTTTCAATATAATTTTTTCTGTATCAATATTTTATTTAAATAAATTGTAAATAATGATCAATACAATAATAAAATTCAATAAAATAATAACAAAACTGTATAGATTAATTATCAATTATCTTTTCTGCTTTATTTTAGATTCATTTATTTAAAAAATAGGAAAATGTGTATCAATGATAAGCTTTTCAACTTTGCTTCGATGTTTTTCCAAGCTTTCAGGCAGAAAAGTATGAGAAAATCATTAAAAAGAAATAAAATTTATGCAGCTGTAAAAGAAGAATCAAGTATTTTACTTCATTACGCAAGAAATATATATCTTCTAATTAATCTGCTACTCCATTCATATTATTTTTGGGTTCCAGAGCTTGCACCATAAATATAAATAATATCTGTTTGCTAATAGCTTTAAGAATGGGTTTTTTTTCTCCAAGGTAACGGATAAGTTTATAAAAGAGTTTCAAAGTAGGTAGAACCTTTAGTTACCTCTAAATCACAGACTGGTATTTTTTAACGTAGTGAATAATATTGCATTAATATTTAACCACCAATCCCGAAATAAATCATTTTAAAAAATGATATTAACATTTTTTGGACTAGTTATAGTGTTTCTACCATCAAGTAAGAAAAATAAAAATGCATTCAATAGTATTTTATCATTATAATGACATTAAATTTCAGTATCTTGTCGACAAGGACCATTTATTTATTTCAATTACACCAAATCCATGACAGTTGAAGAAGGAGATTCACCACGACTTGAGTGTTATGCTGGTGATAATTCACATTTACCTATTAGATGGCATAGAGATCCACTGTACAGCAGAAGACGAAATCTCACGTTGCCAAACGGAGAATTAAGCTGCTATTGGTAAGAAAAAAATTACCTTTTCTTTTGATATTTATAAATTTATAACTTATGTGATGTTAAAAAATATATTTGCAGTGGCAACGTTCTAGAACTCTCATCTATTACCAAAGATCAACGAGGTAGATATGTTTGTAGTACTGACAGTGTATGGGGAAGTGTTTCGAAATATATCAAAGTTAGTGTCATTTTTGCACCAATCATCCTGGAAACATATCGTATAGATCGTTTTGAAATTAAAAAACTCGAATTACGGTGTAATGTTGAAGCCTATCCATCACCTCAAATTGTGTGGATAAAAAACAATATAACATTGACTACAAATAAACATCATCAAATCATCACTGAATATCAATATGATAATGTACACAATTCAACGCTAATAATATCAACAGAATTTGATTACCATGGTACTTACAAGTGTAAGGCTTTTAATTTAAATGGCCGTTCAATTGTGACTTTTGAAGTAACAGGTAGAATATCAATTAAAATAATAATAATTATTATTTGCTTCTTCATATGTTATTTTTATTTACAAAGTACAAGTTAAAATTTTTTTTCAGATCCAGTTGTAGAAAGAACTTTTACTTCTAGAAGATATTTCTGAATCTATGGAATATTTATGTTTGTTATCTTAAGAAAATTCTTAAAATAGATATTAATCTTTTCATTGCCATCAAGAAACAGAAATAGCAGCTGTTTATATTAAAAGATTTACAAATTTTTTGCGTTGGATAATTAAATTAAAAAAAAATAAAAATATTTTCTATAAATTATTGTAATAATTGATTCGAATTATTTTTGGGTCTTAGAACTTACACTAGAGGCGCACTTTAGCTCCAAAAAAGCTAGAGAAAGAAAAAGATATGCAAAGGCTTTGTGTGGGACTATTATTTCTCTCACTTTTAGAAACTATACTATTGAAAACCTCAAATGTCTAGTTCGCTCTATTCTAACATACACCATAAATATAAAAAATATTAATTCACTAATAGTGTCAAGTTGTTTTTTATCATCAAGGTCGCAGATAAATTTATACACATAAAAAAAAATTACGGCGTAAAAAGAATCATCAGTCATTTTTAAATCATCGACTAGCGATTATTAATGTGATCAATTATATTTTATAAATTGTTTTAAATCATGAATCCACAATTTAATTAATTTTTAACATGATGTTGATATTTTTGATACTTGTTGCAGTGTTCTTACCATCAAGTAAGAAAATATTAGAATAAAAAAATCCAATGCGTCCAATAGATGATTTTTATAATAACATGAAATTACAGCATTTTGTTTAGATGCACGAAATAATTATTACATCTCATACACAAGAGTTGAAGAAGGGGAATCATTAGAAATTGAGTGTCGTATTGATGGTTATACTGATAAAGATCCACCTTTACCTATTAAATGGTACCGAGAACCAAGACCAGAAAATCTTACTTTATCGAATGGAGAAACAACTTGTGAATGGTAATCAATGAATTATTTATTTTTTATTTATATTATATAAACAAGTAAACTCAATGAAAAAACATTTCATTTGAAAATTATTTTGCAGCGGTAAAGTAATAAAATTTCCATCTATTACCAGAGATCAACGAGGAGACTATGTTTGTAGTGTTGACACTGAATCCGGAAGTGTTTCTAGATTTCTTAGTGTTGATGTCCATTTCGTACCATTCATAAAAGAAACATATCGTATAAATCGTTTTGAAAAAAAAGAAATCGAGTTACGGTGTTATGTTGAATCTTACCCTTCACCTAACGTTATCTGGATGAAAGATAACACAACATTGTTTGTGAATGAGCAATATCAAATAGAACATGATTCTGATTACCCTGATTTATATGACTCTACTCTTACCATATCAACGAAATTCGATTATTATGGTAATTACACATGTCAATTTATAAATACCATTGGGCATTCGACTATGACTTTTAATGCGACAGGTAAAAAATGAAATTTACAAAAAAAGTAATATTAAAAAATTACAAAATTACAAGCTTGAATTACTCTTAGCTCCAGCTTTGACGAGAAACCTTACTTCTTATTATGGCAGTGATAATGAATTATAGAACTCACTAAATTTTCATATTTTTTATTCTAAAATTAAAACAATTTTATATACAGGTATTTATTGCTTTGTTATCATCAATATATTTCATGTTATGATTAGCAATAAAAATAATATTATCTATTGTAATGTGTACAAAATAAATTAGAATTTACTATTAACTATTCTAACTTACAATTACTGAGCGTCTTTTATTTTAATGTATTAAAAGATGTTTGAAAAAACTTTAAAAAGTTATAAAAGTTCATCAGTACTACATGAGTTAAGTAGTAAATGAAAAATATTATGGTTTAGTTGAAATGTCATAAAATCAACTCCAACATGTTTTACTACATCAAAAATTACCAGAACTTGTTTGGCTAATAATTTTTGTAAATAACTTGCTCCAAAAAATAACAGAGGTTTAAATTATTTTTCAGGAAATCATTCAATAATGTTGATAACGATCAGATTCAATAGCAATCAGGAGATAAAGCTCGACTTATTAAAGAAGAAGTAGCAAGAATGAAAGAATTAAGCAGAGTTTCTTAGAGTTGTTATTACTGTTCCAAAAAGAGTCTCTTTTATTGTTGCCAAAAGGTGCATTTGGATTGTCGATTCATTTTAGATCCAACAGGACACTTGAAGTCAGTAGAAAATTCTGGTATGTTTGATAATGCACCGATGACTCTGAATTCATTTGGAATATGAGAATTTCTGTTAACTGACCGCAAAGCATTTGGACCATCTACCGAGCACCATGTGTTTGCCACGCTGATCCAGAATAGCTGATTAGGCGTGTAAGATAAATTAGGAAGCTGCACTTCTGGCGTATGATTGGATACCCACTTCTGATATGCCAAGTAAGCTAATCTTATACCTCCTCCATCTGCAATATTTTCTGCAACTCGGGTTTTTCCATCTATCTACAACAATTAATTAGACTTGAAATAATCGAATCTTAATTTTAAATTTCTTTCAATATTTATATAATTATCTTACCTTTTCTCCAATTTCTTCTATTGTATAATTATTGTACTGGTTCACAAGACATGTAGTTTTACGCAAATATCGTAGTTGTGCTAAAAGACTGTCCCTATCTATGTTACCATTTGAAAATATCATGTCTTTGCTATCAAACATGTGGAAAAATTCATGACCGATAATTGATCCAATGGCTCCATAGTTGACATACAAAGGTCTATTGTGCTCATAAAATGGACTTTGTAAAATTCCAGCCGGTATTTCTGCAACAATAAGATTGAAAGTAGTAAACAATGATTTAAGAAATCACAAAAAAAATAAATATTCATTATACCAATTCGATTCGCATATTTAACATAGCGAGCATTCACTGTCGTCCATGGATCCAGGATGGTCCAATCAGTATAATTAAATTCTTGTTTCAAACTTTGACAAACTTTTTTCATGTTAAATGTATTAATATTTCGCGAACTCTGTAGATAATCCAATCCATCAATTTTAAGATCTTTGTAATAATTTCTTAATTTATTATCATCCAATAATTCATCAGCATAAGCTATGAATTGAGTTACATTTTTAACTTGTCCTTTAACATCACTTATTGTTTTCTTGTCCAGCCATCTCATTTTATCAATAACATCTAATAATTCATTTTTAATGTAATTAGTCATCTCAGTGACTTTAGCTTTCGTGTTACGTTTGACGAAATTTCGAATATATAAAGAGTCAGTTGCTAATTTGAATTCTTTCATGACTTCTAACATACACGTGACTGCTCTTACATTTTGTATCCCTTTTTCTCCACGTGATAATTTATATGTTGACAATTTTTTTTGTATTTTACTATCAAGATAAGGTACTGAGCTTTGAATTACTTTCCATAAAGCATAATTTTTTTGTACTCTTGAAGGAGTTGTATTAATAAGATTCTCAAAAGCTGTAATGTAATTTGGATTGGACACAATCACTGTTTCATTATCATAAATTTTCACGTATGGAATTAATACTTTTTTAACTATCATGTCCCAGTTAATACGGGGCCATGACCATTTTATATCTTTCATCCTCATTATTTTTAAAGATGTTGTAACACGATCACTTTCATGTATAAGCTACAAAAGAACAATTAGATTTAGATCTATTATTTTTATCAATTTTAATTTTATTTCTATAAAAATTACCTTTGATAAACGCATTTCAAATTCAAGTACATCTGCAAATTGATTTTTTGCTTGATTTCTATCAACTCCCAGTAACTCAGCAATATCAATCATGTATGAATAATAAGCTTTAATAGTTGGATCATCTAGACCTTTGGAAAATTGCTCATAAGGAAATTCTAACTCCGGATCTTGCATCTGTAATAAAATGAATAATTGAAATAAATATTATTTATTAATTTCCCATTTGGAAGGTATTGTAATGGGTCCGATTTATCAATTTAGAAATTTTAGCGAATCTTAATATTTCAAGGTCAACAGAGTTCGAATTCATCATTTTTAGGATGATGACTATAAGTATGTTTGTTTGTTTGTACGTTGGTGAAACGTTTTTCTCCAACGATAACTCAAGAACCAAGCAAGATATTAATTCCAAACCAATTCCATTCGAAAGATAACAGTTGAAAGATGGACTAATAAAATTTTCATTGAAATTAAACGACCAGTTTTTTTTTTATAACAAAAAAAGGAATAATAACAGTGACAATAAAAAAAAGATTGCAAATTAATTTTTTTGTCAATATCTTGAGAACTTAGCAAGATATTAACTTCAAACTAATTCTATTCGATAAATGACAACAACAAAATATACTGATAAATTTTCATTTAAATTAAACCGACAGTTTTTGTTTTTATAACAAATAAAGAGATTTCAAATATTTTTGGTCTCGGTTATTTCAAGAATAAAAAATGTGAACTTTAAATTAATTTCATTTAAAAATTATTGATATGAAGAATATGAATGAATAACTATATTTGAATTGTCATATAAATTATAAAAGAGTTTTTACTCAACAAGAGCACTAAATGGGAAATTAGTAACTTGGGTAAGCCAGTTATATAATAGGCCTTCATACTTGTAAAGTATTTGAGTAGAAGTATTTAAAATACTCTACTCAAATACTCTTAGAGTATTTGTATTTAAAATACTTTTGAATGAAAGTATTTGTTATTTGTATTTAAATACAAAATTTTCTTTATTTTAGTTGATTTTGCAAATACTTTTGATGACATTTTTTAATCTGAAAACGATTTGTATACAATTCAACTCAACAGAATATATAATTATGTATAAATTGTTAAGAAAGTTATTATAATAATCGTAATAATGCAAATATGTTTTCCGATAAAAAAAAACTCAAGCCAAGTATTTGTATTTGTATTTAAATACTTTTTAGAAGGTATTTTTTATAAGTCTGCAGGCCTCTAGTCTTCTCAAAAGATTAGAATTTGATTTATTATATTAATACTTACATAAAGAGCAAGCTTGGAGCTATTTCTTGGATCTACATTAATACTAAGTCCTATAAAGTAATCACCAGTGTATCCATTTCTTCTGATTTTGTAGACCAATTCTTCCCAACTGAAAATTACTTTATTCCATCGAGTTGGCATCAGAGGCCAGCCATGAAGTTTTTTTAGAATTTTAATTAATGGTTGATATCCTTGTAATTCAATGTTAGCTAAAATAACAGCAAATCAATGTGTTCAATAAAAGTAATAATTGATAGAATGATGATAAATTAGGAAAAAAAATACTCACTGGTGTTCATACAAGTATCATAGAATTTTCTGACAACTTTAAATGGCTTGAAATTAATTTTGGAGTCTAAGTTAGTTATTGTTGTGTGCAAGTCACCTATAATACGACTTTCACCTGTTACAAATCGATCACTATGGTAGTCTGGACGGATAATATTATTAGATCTTTTGAATTTTCCACAAGCAAATTTGTAAAAATTATCGCAAGGATCTATTGAATGATCCATATCACGAAACAGTCTTTTTGAAGTCCTTAAGGATCCTAAAAAAAACATAAAGACTCATTGCCATTTAAATCATCAGCTTTTATAAAGAAAAGTATAATTAGAAACTGATTAAAATTATTTTTCCATTTACTTACCACGACCATATTTTAATCTCGAATTTACAGGAAAACTTGAATTTGAAGTTATTGCAGAAGATGAAGATACTCCATCGCTGATTATGATAATTATAAAATAGCATAAAATATAAGAATAGCTCCAATATGAAAAGCTGCAAAGTAGGATAAAATTTATTAATCATCAATTTGATTATAAATTACAGACAATGTTTATTGTAGTATTTTTAAATTAAATCTTTAAGAATATGTCATATTGATCGATTGTGCAATTTTTTTATTGAATACTTCTGATCGACATTTTAATTATTGATTTTAATATTGACGTCATTTATGATTGCACATTGACGTACATATCATGACGAATTATTTGTATTGTTTACATAATATTTGTCTACTAATCATATATAGAAAAGTTATCATAACTTAATTATCATTTATAACAATTTAATCAGCAGCTATGTTTAATTTAATTCATATTTTGCAACTCAGTATGCAAGAATTTAATTTAATAGCTATTGGAATGACTTACTCGTGCTCCATAAAATTTATTTATCACAACAAATATTTGAGCTAATCTTTGTTATTTTAGAGTGCTTTAGAAATTCTAGTGTTTCCATAATTGTTTTTAATCAAAATAAAAAATTAAAATTGACTCACAAATTGTTGATTTGGACCATGATGAATCTTTGGATTAAAAATTAAAATACTTTTACTTCTTATACTTCTAGTACATCAAGTGTATTAACTATAAATGTATTAAGCGTAAAAATCAGTAAACAAAATCAAGAATTAAAAGAATTTAGTTCATGACTGTCAACGTGATAATGGCTTAAGTAGACCAAAGTCAATTATTTATACTCTTATGATTCATGACACCATAGACATTGGTGACAGTAACTTGATGGGGAGTATCAACACCTAGTTTTTTGATGATTTATTTTCAATCTATAATTTCGTAAACAATTTGTATGCTTTTTCAATAACAACAGATGTTGATAAGAGAATAACGTCAATTGAAATTTCATTTCTCGTTCAAGTTACATTATTACGAAAATTTTATTGATTTTTCAGAATTTTTTCATCACGATCTCGTTGAAGTATTTTAGATTAATTACATCAATAAATCATAACTAACACCCAAAGATAACATTTTTTACTTTTATCAGATAATTCCAGAAGTAATTAGAACTATCATAATTAATTTCGTTTATGGTCATTCTTAAAAATGTTACCCTAGTCTTTGTAATAATATTTTATGTATCCTGCCCTTCTATTATAACTTAGTTTATATATACATATATATATATATTTTACCCAGCTTTCTAAATTCCTCAAATCCTCTTTTCTATATCCTATCATAAAACTACACTTTGATATTTCCTCAGAAAACTACACTTTCCAAAATCCTCAACTACCTGATTCGATAGTTTTCCTACCCAAAAAAGTCGCCTTATGTGACCAAACAACAAACCCTTCCCGAGTCAGAATTTTACTCTTATTTTGCCGCTGAACCTCCTGAAGTCAGGAGCATCAGCGGGAAAAAATTATTTTTTCGTATAAGAAAAATAATCTAAAATATTTATTCAGTGGGATTTTTTCATTCAGGAGGTCTAGCAGGAAGTAGAGAAAAATCGTTGGTGTTCCCGGCGGTCACCCATCCAAGTTCTGTACACGAGAAATTTTGCTTAACATCGAGAGATCGAGTCCCGGTCCCTGCATCCACTGCACTGCGTCGAATTTACGAATTTTTTACTTATTTAAATCCACAATAATTAATATTATAAATAAAATACTATTAATGGTAACTCAATCTTATAATGAAAATTAATTAAAATATACAAAATAATAAAAAAAATATTTAAAAGTTGCAATTAATAATCACTGATTGTTGAAAGTAACTTAATAATTTTTTTTTTAATAAATATTAATCAAAAGAACTGAATACCATTAAAAATAGTTTATAAAAATATTCTGTACTCGGTAGTAATAAAATAATCATATTAAATATAATAATGTATTGTTATAAACAATCAAATATTATAGAAAATATTTCCTCACCATTACTAACTATTAGAAATTATTTTAAATCACTACAAATAATTTTTCATCGTCAAATGTTGATAAAACTAATTTAATAATATAGATTTCATTAATAAATTCATAATAATTATGGAAAACGCGTAGATATTCTGGATGAAGACAAAAATTTTTATTGTAAATAAAGTATAGTAAGCAGGTTCAGCGGCAAAATAAATTCTGTCAGGCGGTTTAGCGGCAAAAATAAATTTTTTCAGGGGGTTCAGTGGGAAAATATAGATTTTTAGGGGGTTCAGCGGCAAAATAAGAGTAAAATTCTGACTCGGGTTCTATCCTGGATTTTATCCTGTAAAATACATCCCATTTGAAGGAACCAAAGCACTCTTTCCTAAAATACCAACCTGTCTAATTGTTTTCTATTTTCTAAATTATACAATTTTATACATGAACAACTGTGAGCTGTACAAACTAATAAGTTTTAATAAACCTGAAGTAGAAATAAATTCGTATTTCATTGGTCATACAACAAATACAATAATTATCATTATCACTTCAGACAGATCATAATCATCCAATAGTAGAAAAAATTTCAAATAAATAATGACTATTAATTAACTTCCCATTAGGAAGTTATTGAAATTGGGTCGATTGGTGAAATTTGAATTTTCATCATATCTTCACGTTTCATGGTATTTGCAAGCATACTGACCAATTTTTAGAATGATGTGTGTGTGTACGTACGTACATATGTCTGTACGGATGTCAGCATGTTTGTCGTTTTCGATATCTCGAGAACGGAACGAGATATCGACTTCAATCTAAATTTATTCAAAAAATATTATCATAAAGAAGATCTAAGTAAAATTTGAACAAATTCGGTTGAGGCGTTTTTTGTATAACAAAAAAACTAATAATAAAAAAATGAAAAGATTAACTTTTTAAAATACTTTTAAGTCAAAAAATAACAATTTCATTTGAAAATTGAGTCGATAATGACTAGACATTATTGTTCACAACCAAATATGACTTTCAACAGTTACACATTGTTTATAACAATACGAATTTGTTATATACAATTAAAAATTGTATTTATTGATTAAGTAATGTGTATATCACATGGATTTTGATGTTTCCAACAAAATAATATTATTAATGATGAGCTATGACTCTTAACAATTATCTAAACAATTATGCATTGTTCATAACTATTTAAATTTGTTATAAACAATTACTAATGGAAAGTTCGTCGTGTTAGCACAGACAAAGTGTGCTTAGACCTATTTTTTTATTAGTTCTTCTAAAACTTGCTACATTTATAGGTGTTTATTTTTTTCTAAATATAAAAATTATATTTAATCATATAATGTTAATTTTTGAACAGCAAACATTTGTATAAAATTAACATATACAAGCTCAATCAAATAAAGCTGTCTAAAATTAAAGATAACCAATATTTTCTCAGTTTTTTTTTGTTTTATTTTTAAATTAAAACAATATAAAATATGAAAGTATTTATTAAATTTTTAATTAGATTGACACTTACAAGATTCATTAATCATCTCTTATCGTTTCATGTAAATTTCGTAACGAGGTATTCATTGATCCAACTATAAAATCATAATTTTATTCTATCTCCAATATAACATGAAATAAAATGAGATCGTGACTGATATCAAGCTGAGAAAAATTAAATTACAATGAAAACCTGAAAACACTTATGATAACTGTATAACTGATTGAATAATAAATTATTATTGTTGGAAAAATGTATCACATTCAATCTCATTTCAAATTTTAATCATTGGCTTGTATCAATATGCGTGCACAGAAATGTATTTTACATAATTCAATTTAATCTGTATAATTGCGTGTATTATTTTTACATAGATTTTATTTTTAGATTATCATCTTTTATTTTATTATTAAACATTTAAAATAACATTAAGAACTATTTTTGTAGTACTTTTGAATTTTAACATACATTGTAAATCCCAGTTTTCCAAAATGCATTATTTTAATGCGGATAAGTGTGTTTAATATGACGTCACCCATTTGATTAACATTGTAGTCGCTTTTTACACACTTAGAAATGCGTTAATTTGGAAAACTCAGATTTACAGTGTAATCATTATTATAATGTTTTCTAAATAATTACAAATATTTCTCTACAGACTTTCTCAATAAATTTTAATAAATTCTAAATCTTTATCCAAAGTTAAATCTCTTTATAACATTTGATTTTCTGCTCTTAAAAAACTAATATAAAAGATATTATTTAATGTAATCGATGAATCAAATTTCTTTAATGATAACAGTGAAAAATGTATAAATTAACTAATTTAAGTTTAAATGAAGTCGTTGGAATATTTTTATGAGCAAATTGAAGAATGGAAATGACGTCAAAATGTCATCTAAAATTCACCAAACCCATGAAACTTAGCCTCGTGGGTTTGTGGTGGAACATCGTCCGAAATATCGCAGTCTTACATCTACAAATATAAAAAAAAAGACAATGAAATTCCACTCTGTGATAAAGTATTCACATCGGTATTATAATAAATTATTAACTGTTTTATTAAATATAAAAAATTAATGAGGTTCAATTCTCTTACCTTTACCACATCGCTGAGCACAAGTAAGTCGTCCGGGGTTGTTATAATCGACTCCATCTGTACCGCAGACCGGATTAAATTCTGACGTAGCCTATGAAGTTTATAATAAAATCATTAACTTGAATACCAATCTTTTTTCTGAGTGACTCAATGATGTTATAAATATCCTGACATTCTCATATTAATGAAATAAAATGTACAATCAAATATAATGAAAGAACCGGTTTGTTGAATTTTTATTTCAATAATTATTAGTCAGGTAATATAGTATAAAAAATAAATATCAAAATTTGAATAAAGAGTGTTAAATGTACGAACAAAACACTGTTATGAGTGAATAAAAAATTTTTGCCAGTCATTTATACTTACCAAGCATGACTGAATACAATTAGTCAAGACTGGTGACATCGTAGTAGATACAGTACCAGTAGTAGGATTATTTACGTTAACAATTGGTTGATCAGTTACTGTTAGAGGAGGTCTATTGTTCATAAAGTTAGGATTACTTCGATCAGCAGGTCCATCAAAAGAGAATCCATCAGCTACAAAAATGTCATCCATGAGATCATAATCTGGATCCATCATCATCTAAAAAAAGGTTGTAAATCGTTTGATTAATTATGATAAAAAGTATTCTATAATTATGTAAATTAATAAGATTATTTATTTAAGTCACTTACCTGTGGTCGTGATTCAATTCTCAAAATACACGTGAATATGAATATAATTGATAATGATTTCTTCATTATGGTAATTATTTAATGACTTAATGTGGTTGTTGAATTCGATCAAAAGAATATATTTGTGATCACGAGCTATCCAAGTTGAGAGACCAACTGATACTACGCCAGAAACATCTTTGCTTTTATAGTATTTAACTACGTCACTCTGAAGAGCAATCAAGTATGTTGGAAATATGCGAAACTTCCATACTCTTAATGTTCCAGGTATCTTTTACCTTCTTCAAGTTAATGATTATACACCAGCTGCATTACAATTATGTATCATGATGCTCATAACATCAAAATCTCCAATTCATTTGTCATTTTTTTTTATTTACACTGTAAAATTCTGACTCATTAAAACATTCTTTGAAGTTATTTTATAGAAAAAAATATAGTTGCTCATATTTTATAACAATAATAGTTCTTTAAATAATATTTTTAATTAAAAAGTTAAATGACAATGTTTTTATAGTGATTTGATGATGATAAATGGTTGAATTGAATGAACTAGTAGTATTTATTGATGAATATTTTTTATAATTATTTTAAAGAGATCTTTATCACTTTAATCCTTTGCTATTATTCTGAAGTTTAGTTTCAATTTTACTTCTTGACCTGAATGAATTCGTGAAAAACACTCACCATTAAGATCTTCAGAACTTTTGAGAAATTCTTAAATAACAAAAAGAATTAAAGAACATTTCCCTTTTTAATTTCTTTAATTTTTATTTTTTTCTTCAAATGATTTTGAAAATAGAATACTTTATCGGTAAAAAATTATTTTTTTTTTGTTTAAATAAAAAATTTATTCAAGAAAAGCGAAAAATAAGAGAATTGACATAAAATGATAAAATTTCTTTCTCTTAGTAGAAACTAGACCCAAGGCAAGTAATAAGGCTGTCATATTAAAAATGTATCAACTGTAGACAAAATGCATTACACAATAATAAATTAAATATAAGATGAATTTAAATACATATTTATAAAAAAAATATATATTAACAATATTCATAATAAAGGAAAAAATTAATACACAGTTATTCTATTAACGTCATTGAGGAAATTGTTTTAATAGAGAATTTCATGTTAAAATTGACCAATTACTACATTTGATATTTAATTTTCATCATTAGCACTGTAATATCAATTAGGATAATGAAAATAATATAATTACTGTAAAGTACTGTAAATTAATATAATATTTCATAATAGAAATAATTAAATTGTTTTTCCATTTTTAATTTAAATAATTGAAATTATTTTTCCTAAAAATTCTCACATAATTACTCAAAAATTTAAGCCCATTCATAATAAATAAAAAAAAGTTCCTCGAAAAATGACGTGGCATCAAGATCAACAGGAATATTCGTCCGGGGAAATCCTCTACGGAGGAATTGCAATGAAATATTCAGCGATAATTATATGAGAAAAGAAGCATGGCATGTTGCGGTGTAATAAAAACAAAATACACGATACAATGAAATGGATCGGGAATTCCATTTTTCGCAGAAGCATGGAAATAAGAATATCATTTTCAATCGTTATATACAAAACCAGTTGCTTCTTTATAATGTTTATTGCACATAAAACTTGTTTCCAGCAACATAATTTTTAAATAAAATACTCAACATTAATCGTAACAATTAAATCATCACATTTATTATTACGCATATTATAATTTTTTTTTTTTATTACTATTATTTGCAATCCATCAAAACATAAACAACATAATTAATCATTTTCATGGATACATTATTCATTATTATTCAGAAGATAGAATATACTTATTGCATCTATATACGTTATATTAATAAATCCTCCCAAATGACAATTCATATAATTAATACTTTTTTTTTAAATATCTTGACCCTTCAATCTTTTTATTATATACATTTAATATTTTAATGCAATTCATTTATGTATATATATAATATATAATCATTTATTTGTTTTGTCTTTTTATTCTCCTCTTGTTCAATCAACAATTTCTTCTAACACTAATTTGATAGAACAACTTCGTTACATTACAGTTTTACTTTCTTTATTCGTTCATTGCAATCCCTGATATTTCTTAAAACTCGATTTAATATTATTTATTAAAATATTCACTCAACTGGAATAAAAATAAAATTCAGTATGCAAAATTAATATGAAAAATATATAAGATAATAAATTTTTCAACTAATCAATTTTACGTAAAAATATCCTGTAATTTTTTTTTATTTATTTACCATACTTTAGTCAACATGCTTCCATCTTAAACAAATCGTTAGGAAATAGATTAGTTTATTTTAATATTTGTACTGATAATTATTACGCATTTCGTATTATTAAGAAACATTTTTTTCACTTTATAACAGTGAAAAAAACCAGCCTCAGTTTCTAAATAATACGAAAATATGTAAATTCATTTTTTTTATCTTATAGTATTGACATTCTTTGCAATGTTTTTTTTGCCATTTTTTTTTCTTTCTTTTTATTGAGTTTAAACTACTTGTATATAAGGATGCGCTATAAAATAAAATTGTTCCTCTTCCAGCTCTATAGACAGTAAGTTCATCGTATCATATACAAACTATGTCTCGAGACATTCCCAAAATAATTTCAGCAGCATTTATATCTAAATAGATCGAGCATTTATCACTATTCTAGAAAGTATGGATTCATAAAGGGGAATATATATGAATAATCGATAGCAGTTTAATAAGACAGGTAGCATTGATAATTATGTGATCATTATCTTGTGACTTCCTTGTTTTTATTTTTGATGACTAGAGTATGGTATTAATGATTATACTTTGCTAAATATTAAGTTTACATTAGTTTTCAATCATGACTTATTGATCGAGCATAATAATGTTAAAAACTTTATAATCGTCAGTACAACAAAAAAATATATAGTGCCGATGTATTATTATCATTATTATTTTCAATATTAATATTATCATTATTATTTCTAGTGTTATTGTTAGTCTTATATTTATGCATTTTATTATTGTTATAATAATAATCATTACAGTGATTATTATTACTATTCAATAGCATTTCTATGTATTCTGATAATTTGGTAAAGTTTTTTTTATTTAATTTTTACCCTCAAGAAATTGAAACAATAAAATCAATTAATTATCACTGTCAAATTAAATTAAAATATAAATTCATGTTGATACTTAGGGAGACAAATTTTTTATGTATTTTTATATGTTTTTTTGTTAACAGTAATACTGACATAGGCGTTTTTTTAATTTATTTTAGAATAAATTTAAATTCTTGTAACAGTAGTAGAATTCATAAAACTTTCGAAAAATTTCGGTGTTGCCAGAACTTTTGGTTTATCTAATATAATTGATCAATTGAATATGTTATATATATATATTTTTCTTAGTGTTGCACTACTGAGGATCTGTAAAATGGTAAAAATTTGAATAATTATCTTCTAATTATTTATTCATTTATTATTAATTTCATAGGGAGATAAATTTATTCAAAAGGGGAAAAATAGCTGTATCATAGCTTACTAAATTTGGGGTCAATCAATCCGTTTTTCTTGCCTCGTACGCCAACAAATTTACCCCTTATCTCCCATCGCGGAATTTTTTTTCCTCGTGTTCCAGAAATCCCATATGCCGGTCTCTTCTCGAACTGCATAGCATTATTTATAAATCTTGAATCTGGAAAAAAAGAAATAGAAATTATTTTTTAATCACTTTTTTATTTTTCAGGTTGTTCTTGTAACCAATATTAACACCAAAAAAAGCTTATTTAATAAACCAAGATCTTTATTAAATTAATTATAAGTTTGCTGTAGTCAATTTGTCAATAATAGTTTTCAAATCAAGTTCAAACTTTCTGCTTGCTCTCTTCAGAAGTAAACGTCGTTATTTTTTTCTACTTCTGTCATCAGCACATATTTCCACTTTGCTTTCTTTACGCATAATTTATTCTTTACCTTCCCTCACTATTTTTTTACTATAAATATTAACAGTTCACTATTTGCAAATAATTATCTACAGAAATAATAAATACAATGAATAATTCACCTATCAAGTTCTTGGAGTTTTCATAGTAGCCATCATTCATATCATAAAGACCCATGACATTTCTTTTTCCTCTCATTCCAATGAAGCCCATGTTTCCTCGTTTGTCGTCTCCTCTTTTACCTCTCATTCCTTGAAATCCCATTGGAGCTCTCTTTTCATAATCAGCTGGATCAACAATGTACTCATAATAATTAGTCAGTCCATCTTTTTTACCTCTCATTCCCTAAAACAATTAAAGGTTTTTTTTTATATGTAGATGTTTATCATAAATCATAATCATAGAATTTGCAAATGAAATTTAATGTACACGTTTCAATGATTCATGGAGAAAGCTTATTTATCGACATCCTGTTGAATGCTCCCACAAAAAAATTGAAACGAGGGCCGAGAATAATAATATAAATTTTTTTAACAAATGAATATTCAAATTTATTTCATTCTCTTCTTTTAACTTTGAATAAAAAGTTCTACATTGACGTTACCCAAGTGTTGAATACAGAATAATAATCTGTAGAAAACAATTTTATTGGATTTTAATTGAAAAATTACAATGAAATATTATAAATTACTTATCAAAATGTAAAATCAAAATATTAAATAATAACAAATAAAAATGATTTTTACTATATCTTGACTTTTACTAATATAAAAGAAATGTAAATCAAAAAAATTGTCTTTAATCGTTAAGTTAAAACTGACAAAATTGTAAGTAAAAATCACTTTTAAATTTTTATTATAAATTGTAGTTAAAAAGAATTTTATTTAAACAACTTTGCTAGAAGAGATATAGATAGAAAAATTTAGTTATTATTTTTAGTTCACCTGAAGATAGTAGTTATTGCTACCGAAACGTTGTGATATTTGTGTGCTTTCAATGGAAAATAAAGTTAAAGATAAGTGGATTGGGAAAAAGGCTTTAAATAATTTATAAATTAATGTAACAAATAAATATTGAGTACAACATTAAATGTCATCTTTTTGGTATCATCACATCTTGCAGTATTAATTCAGTAACAAGATTTAAATCAGAAGGAATTACTGAGTGAATTTATTAGGAGAGCAAAGAAGAAAATTCAGGTACGAATATTAAATTATTCTAACGAAAACATGTTTTATGCAACAAGTAGAGGAGTGTCGATGGATTTAACAGCTTAGTGTATTGCAATTTAAATAATAGTACTTTAGTTACCTGGAAACCCATGATAGCTCTTTTCTCAAGGTCTTCTAATTCTTCAAGAAAATTTTGTTTTCCTTCCAATTCCATCATCGCTCTCTTATTCCAGTTGACATTCTCATATTCATCCTTTTTACCCCGCATACTTTGGAATCCTAATGCACTGACTCGTTTTCCATATTCATCCGGATAGTCATTCATATATAATTTATTTGGGATTACTGGAAAGTTGCCTCTTTTTTCATATTCATCTAAGATCTACAAAAAAAAAGTGATTCAGTTGAGTAAATATTTTATTTAGGCAAAAGATATTCTGATTATTCAGCTTCAAGACTGCCTGTAAACCTAGAAACTTACTTCATCAAATGATTTCTTCCCACGTGTTGGTTGAAAACCAATCGCTCTTTTATAGAATTCATCTCCACGCATGGCTTTTTTGCCTCTCATGCCTTGGAAACCCATCAGAGCTCTTTTTTCATAATCATCATGATAATAACCTTCATCAAAATCTTCGGGTGCTAAAAAATCGTCCTTTTTACCACGCATTCCTTGGAAACCCATTGGTCCTCGTTTTTCATAATCGTCAAAAAATTCATTTAAATCAGAAACATCTGAATCTTTTTTTCCTCTCATACCCTGAAAAAATTTTTAATAATTTCAATAACGTAAAGTTAATTGATTAATCAAACTAAATGAGTAATAATTACTTGAAAACCCATAGGTGCACGTTTCGATAAATCATTATCATCCAAATCCGATATGATGTCCTTTTTCCCACGCATACCTTGGAATCCCATAGGGGCACGTTTGTTAGGCTCTACACCATTTAATATTGACTCTTCTGCCAATGATTGTAGAATTATAGAGAAAATTGCCAGTGCAATTAGATTAATAAACATTCTGGAACAAAAAATATATTTTCCTGAATGATATGTCATAAAATGAGTACAATAAAGATTTAAACATTAAAACTTCATCCTATCTATTAAAACTCATGACTTACTGTCAGGCAAAGAGATACAATTATAAAAACTGTTCGTGTGAATATAATTAAATATTTATAATATTTTTTTTTATAAAATTATAGAGATTACAATTTAATAATGATAATAGCAAAAAATATTTTTAAATTATGGTAACAAATACCAAAAAACAATAATTAAAGAATACAAAATTAAATCGACCAATCAGAAAAGCGTAACCATTTTATTCGTGCGTTGATTGGTCAATTTTATTTTTAAATTTTCGAAATAAATAAAAATAAAAATTAAATAATTTTTTACGTTGTCGACTTGAGACAGTGCGCTCGAAGAGCGCGCAGTGTTTTTCTAGTACATTAATAAAAGGTATGATTAAAATAAATTAACAGATGATTAATAAATATTATTCAATGTCAATGGATAATGAATAAATTTTCCTTATTACAAAAAGTACTACCTTTGTAAGAAACTTTTACTTTGCAAACTGTTGAATGATAAGTCAAGTTCGATAGAAATGATCGAGTAAAAAATACAGCCAAGTGTTAGTATGAATTATTGATAATTAATTCAAGTGTTTGATTGACATTTTCAGTTATCCGTACTTTTTTATATTAATTAAGGTTAATCCAACAAGCGATTAACGACGAGTGACTCATGTAGAATATTATTCTAATCAAGAAATCAAATAAAGTCATGAATTTAATTCAAGCATAAGTGCAATGTAGAGAAACTTTCTTAATTATGATTAGGAATATCGTTATTTATTTATCAGAAGTAATTCAGATAAAAATCAAAACACGTAAACTACATAACTCAGTAATTCAACAATCTCCATTTGCTCTTTAGCATTCAACAAGCCCAACAATCAAGTGAACTACTTGTTCGTATTTTTTTTTTTTTCCTTTTTCTGTATTAATTTTTTTTCATCCCTCTCATCTTACCCGTAAAACATTTTCTACTCAATTAATTAAGTTTAACATGCTACTCTTCATCACGAGTTCTTGCTAGAGTTTTCCATAAACCAAGAAGTAGAAATCGTAGAATACAAATTACATTCTGAGAATAAGTTCTCCAACAAGAAAATATTTTCCTTATTTTAAAAATAACAAAGCCAGAAAATGTATATTTTTCTTTTAAATAACAAAGTTAAGTAAATCGTACCGTGATATTAAGTTGGTTCTCTGCTACATATGAAAAGTCGAGTGAATTTTAGAACTTTTAAAACAAAGTATTTTATGGAAACCTACATATATAACAGTGTCAGTTGAATTTATTATTTTTGTTCAATTTTTTTGTAAGATGTCAGATAAACCTGAGTAATAATTGGATTACATTATAGAAATCTTATTTATTTTCAACGTGAGGTATTTGTATTTGGTATTTTTTCAGAGATTTCTCGAATCGAGAATAAGGGTCGAATCCCATGGGTGTCTTGAGAATTGCTCTTCTAACAGTAAGATCAGTTACATCCAATAAAATATCCTAACAATCACGTCTGAATGGTATCGTTTCCTTTGACACCCTCGATTATCTATCTACACGTTATCCACCACCTAGTACAGCATATCTAACAATTTACAAAGGGAACAATGTGGAGTGGGTGGTATCACAAAAAGATTGTGTTGAAGAAGAGAACAAATAATCACATATATTGGATGATTCTTCAAATTGTTGGTTCCATCACTTCCACCAGGTCTTCCCTGATTTTAAACATGCATTTCGTGCTAACTATATCACCTCTCCCTTTTCATGTTATTTATGACTATTTGTCAGTATAAATTAAAAAGAAATTTACGTACTGAAAAATGTAAGAATTCTCATCAATAAAACTTAATCATTTTTTTGTGATGAATTATGATTATTTTCTTTTTTCTTCGTGAAAATGGTCCACGTCACGCGATATTCATGCCTCGGTCGATACACCAACGACATGAGAAACAAATGAAAAGCCGCAATGTATGGATATATGTAAAAAAGAAAGGATAAGAAAAAAAATTAACTACATGAATGAGCTTCTTATGTGTAATAAAAACATTATTTAATGGTTAACACCAAAAAGAAACTAGTGAACATCAAATTGATGAAATAAAAATGAAAGACAAATAAATAAACTTGTTAGTTGAAGAACAAAAACATGGAATTATATAGACATTTATTGTTGGTAGATTATTTGATGGTTTATTTATTTCGTGTCTTCATTAACTTTTTTCTTCATTAATGTCTTTATCAGCGATGTTCAGTGTTTCAGAAAAATTATTATCTGTGTAATGATGGTTTAATCGTTTATACACTGATAAAAGAGAGTTATAAATATTAAAAAACGATTTTCAATTATTAAAATCAATGGTTTTGGAACTATTAATAAATATTTTATTACAATAAAAAAGCCTTAGTTGTGAACACATTAGTGGTTTTATAATGAATAAATCTCATTCTATCGTAAAGAAATATTTTCCAACAGTTAAAAAATATTTTTGGTAATTATCTAGATTAGGTTATACCACTCTGATTTCGTAGGAGATACAAATTTGCAATAGTAATACCAATTAGTAGACAGTTACTTATGTTTAACGTTTGCTACCAGAGATTTAAACCTAAAATAAACCTGGCACTAAATGTTCTTTAAATAAAAGAACATATTTAAACTTCAATTGAAGCCTAGCCTGAAGCAGTAACTCTATAGGTACATTTCCTGTCAAAAAAAAAAAACTTAAAAAATGTTCTGCCGTGGTGATGGTCCCATATAAATCAAGGCACTAAATGATAATTTTATTTTACATAGTAATTAGTAAATTTTAAAAAAATTTTGTGTACCACTTAAGCTAAGGATGGGAGTCCTTTAATTTTTAAAAATAAAATAGTGAGTACTTCACAACACAAAATGTTTCATGCGGTAACTTGATAGGTCCAAGATTTTGCAGCGGGTTTTCGGACTATTATAACTTCACTTTGTGCCTTATGCATATTTTTTATTGGTAGAAATATACATGAAATAAAATTAAATCCCACCCGAGTTAGAATTTTACTCTTATTTTGCCGCTGAACCTCCTGAAAGTCAGGAGCATCAGCGGGAAAAAATTATTTTTTCGTATAAGAAAAATAATATAAAATATTTTGCCGCTGAACCCCCTTCATAATTCCCTTCATAATTCATAATGAAATACTATTAATGGTAACTCAATCTTATAATGAAAAATTAATTAAAATATACAAAATAATAAAAAAAATATTTAAAAGTTGCAATTAATAATCACTGATTATTGGAAGTAACTTAATAATTTTTTTTTTAATAAATATTAATCAAAAGAACTGAATACTATTAAAAATAGTTTATAAAAATATTCTGTACTCGGTAGTAATAAAATAATCATATTAAATATAATAATGTGTTAACTCCAAGTTTGGTTTTCGCGGGCAATCCGCCTGCTCTTCTATACTATCTAACATAAAAATATATACTTTAGTGCGTTCTCGCTATCATGAGATTGATATGTCTCAAGTTCAATAAAGTTTTTTTTTCTTTTCTTTTCTTTTTCAAATAAATATATTTTCTTTTGTAATCATCCTTAGTGATGAATAAAGTTTTGGCAGTTTATTAATAAATAAAACATAAACCAAGGCCACCTGTTTACTTACTTATCAGGTTATGGGCCCAGGACTACTCAAATTTGGAGGTTATACATAGAAAGGGGTATCTTTTGTGGCACGTGGCCGCTTGCTCCATTATATATATATATTTTCTTGTTGTACGGCTGGAAAAGGTTGAAAATGGCCAATGAATTGAGTTCAACGAAAATTGAGTATCTGGTGAAAGATAATTATTGTTCGTGGAGAATGCAAGCTGAGGCGTTGCTGACGAAACACGATTTATGGGAGTACGTAAGTGGCGAGAAGTCGATGCCAGTAAAAGCTGCAGGCGTGAGTGATGCTGCGTTCGAGATGGATCTGGCTTCATGGAAGAAGAAGGATAAAAAGGCGAGAGCTGATTTGATTTTATCGATTCACCCCTCAGAGCTCCAGTTGATTAGACAATGTACGACCTCACGAGAACTTTGGCTCAAGTTAGAATCAATTTTTGCATCGAGTGGGCCAGCAAAGAAAGCTACACTTCTTAGACAATTAATGTTGAAACGTCTGCCTGAAGGAGGCGATGTGAGAAATCATTTAATAAAATTTTCTGAAGTTGTAGATAGATTAATGGCTATGGAAGTGGATATTAATAATGATCTGTTGTCTAGTATGATCCTCCATAGTCTACCGGCCAGCTATGAAAATTTCAGGTGTGCTATAGAATCACGAGACGAGCTGCCGTCACCTGAAACTTTAAAAGTGAAGATTTTGGAAGAAAGTGAGGCTAGGAATAAGGGAGAGTTGGTCGAGGCAGCAAGTTCATTTGCCTTAAAATCACCACAATCAATGAAAAATAAGCGTGAACACTATTCCAACAACACCTCCAAGAAACAATATTACAAGAAAGGACAAGGTAAACAAGAAAAATTTAAGGGGAAATGTTTTAAATGTGGAGTCTTTGGTCATAAGTCTCCTCAGTGTCCTCAGAATGGTGAGAATAAAGAGGCAAGAAAAGGTCAAACGCCAAATGCTAACGTTGTTGATGATTCTTATGCAGTTTGCCACCTTGCAACGTCAGTGTTGGATGCCACGGAAAGTGATAGAGGGCAGTCAAACAGATACCATCTTGATGATGATCATGAAAATTCTTTATTCTCTGCTGCTTCCAGTGCAGAATCATTTTATACTGGAGCAAGGATTGTCCAAAGAGAGCCTCCTACGTCGTCAGAAAATTGGATATTAGACAGCGGATGTACATCTCACTTGTGTCGAGAAGAGAAGAGTTTTAAAGAAATGAGGGACTCCACGCCTGGAGTATTAAAACTAGCTAGTCATGCATCCACTAATGTC